AATGTCACAACAACAACAACGACAACAACTCTTAACCCGTGTCAAGGCCGACCCAATTTGTTATTGTGCATGTCGCAAAGTGCGCGAGAGCGAGAGCGAGACGGCTAGCGGCAGGAGAAGAGACGAGAGTCCGCGAAGGCAAGTGAAAAGAACAAAAGAAGAACAAGCAGAAGAGCAGTCGCTGGTGTGGCATATCCGACTCGAAGTTACCATAATCTTTTGCATTACTTGGACTGGAACTAGTTCAGTTCATGGGCTTGTGACAAATAAGGAAATGCAAATAGTCTAAAAACAGAATTTAGCCGATTTTGAGGGTCATGATTATATGCATGAAATTATGTTTGAAGCATTATTTCAGAATAAAAAGTATATATTATATATTTATCTCTTCTCCATTATCAAAATATAAAAAGGACAATTAATGTGTGCGCTTATTATGTCCTGTTCATATAATTTACAGGGTATACAAATGAAAGGGGGACATAAGCATTGGCATTACGAACTGGGCACGTATGTATGTATTTATGTATGTATGTATTTATGTTATTCAGTTAAAATCAAAAGGCGTGATGAGGAAGCTGGCGTCGGTAGGCGGCAGGCGGTAGGCGGGAGGTAGAAGGAAGGAATCTGGGATCTGACTGTAAGTAGCTGAGGCAAACAGAATTTAATTGGCGCATTGCACAATGAGCACCATAAACAGATCGACAGAGAACAAAATTGCACACACACACACACACACACATACACATATACACATACGTGGTTTATGATATAATGTGTCATTCGTATCGATTGGATTGCAAATTACATTAGACGCATTCGATTTGGCAGTGTTTGATGGAGTATAAAAAAAAAACAAGTTGAGGAAACCCATTGGTAATTCCACAATATATTGCCTATAACTTGGACTGATCGATAGATATAGCTTATTAGCTAAAAGCCAACAAATTAAAGCTCTCAAATAATAATCATAGCTTAACGTTTTTACTAGGCTGAAAAGAAAAACTGCAATATACATATAATATATGTACATATAATTTTAAATTTTAAATAAAGTAATTCGATTGTTTCCTTTGTAACTATTATATAAGTACTACTAGATATATCATATATACTTATTAGAATGAAGTGCTTTTTTTGTTTCATATATGAATATGTCTATTCTATTCCTATATTATGTCTTGAATCCATTGGAATTGATAGGTATAGTTATAGGTATGGGTATAGTTATGGGTAGAGGTATAGCACAGGCTATCGCAATAGATATAGGAATGTATTAGGTGTTCTACTAACTTTTCAAGCATCTTCGTAATACTCTAATCAAAATATTGCAATCCAAAGTCTTAGTTCAACTAATCGAAATATGCAGATCTATAATTTCAAGATGCAAACTGAGCTGAACTTGCGTTGTGCGCAGTTTATGAACAAGCCGAACCATCTAGATACTAACGAAACGCTCCTGATTCACAAAAATTCACAAAGATTGTGTGATTGTTGCTTCGGCGTTATTTCTCGCAATGCCCCACGCTTGTCATCAATCATTCAATTGATGTTAGTGAAAACTCGAGCGTAAATCAAGTGCTGACATTTATGAATGCATAGCATGGCACATATACATATACATTGTATGTATAGATATTTATGTGTGTATATATATTTTTATATATCCATCTATCTAGCGTATCCTCAACTGCGTAGCTATCTGCCCGTTGATGAGTTGATTGTCATGTGAACTTGAAATATGCCCTGTCCAAAAAAACTGCCCTGAACCGGTAAAGCTGAATCGATAGGAAACCGCTGATAAGCAGCTCGAAAGAGTCAGCTAGAAGCTAGAGTGAGAGGCAGAGAGATATATTTCATATCGTTATACGTATATAGATAGATATCTTGCCTTGTACTTGCACTTGCACTTGCCAATCGATTAAGTTGTTGTTCTTATATGATTAATTGAATGACAACAACAACAACAACAACTATTATTACAGCAGCAACAACAACAACAATAACTAGAAGTGACAGCACTTTAGATCGTTCCATTTGTTTCCACATAGTACAGATTTCTCGTACCCCAGACCAAAGTCCACATCTCTCAACATCTATACGAAATGCTTCGACTCATTTCTTGGCATTTTCCCTCGTCTTATTTGTTTATTTATTTATTTTTTTTTTGTTGCTGAGTCTTTTGGCAATTGATGTAGAACTTTGATTCCTGCCAATTTTGGGCTATAAAAAAACTATATACATATGGATATCTGATATAACACATTGAAATCGTATATGTCCAATCTAAACAGCAGATAATAGGGTTTTTGTATATTCCATTTAAGAAATATTGCGAATCTAAAATATAATATACACATTTATAAATATTAGCTAATCCGCTATCAGCATGAAAGTGTAAGTAGAACACATCTAAATATAGCTCACAAGCCTCGAAGTAAGAGCAATACTGAGGCAGGTTTATGTGTATGAATTTTCATATTACTATTATACATATTACATGTACAGTATATATACATATATGTGTATATATTTTAATGTTTACATTCAAGTTTTAGTTAACACTTTTTCAAGCACTTTTCAAGTAAGTATATTTCTATATGTATATAACATATATATATATATATATATACATAGCATACCTTGGACACAAATCGCTCCTTAGACAATTGCCACTTCTTTTGAACACTCTATATACCACTCTATATACACTCTATATACATGTTTATTTCTATATACCAGCTATCTATGCTCGACCCAAGACAAATCCGTACTAAATCAGAAATCTCAAGCGAATTGATACACAGGTCTCCAGCTCAATCGCTGGCTTGATTAGCATTAGAGTCTATCAGCTATCAACTAAGAGCTATCGTCATGCTAATCGCCGGCGCTCGGAGCTCAATGGGGAAAACGACGCTGCAGATACCCTGTAAGCGGATTCCATTGATAATTACATCAATTTATAATTTAGAAAAAAAAAGAAAACAATAAAGAAAACTCTAGTGGAGACTACTCGACTGCGAAATTCCCAGAACCCTTCGAGGAATTGATATTTCACAATAATTACGGAGGCACGGACGCACAGACATACGGACAGGGCTAAGTCGACTCAGCTCGTTGCCCTGATCAAGGATATATGTATATACTGTGTGGAGTCTGCCACGCCTCCTTCTGCATATCCATGGCGCCTAAATTTCCAACTGTAAATTACATATATCAAGCTTACCTTTCAGACTAGGTGTGCGTATAAGCCCTAACAGAAAACGCTTTACAGGGTATCGCGCACATATTAAAGCTAGATGTGCTAGCTTTTTTAAATTACTTACTCAGATAATATATACAGAATTAATGCATAAATTATACCCACACTCAATTTCATTCAATGCAATCCATTTACAGGGTATTGGCCTCTGCTGCATGCCTAACATGCATGTACATATGTACATGTGTGCATATGTATGTGTTAGCTGTAATAATGTCTCATATCTGATCGGCCAAGTAATACACCCGTTGCAATACATTTTACAGGGCATCTCTAGTCGAGCAACGGCTTGGCCATGTTTGCTGCTTTCTTGGCTATTGATTTTCTGGCCGCCTTCGCTGTTTTCCGCATGCCGCAAGAGTTTAAAGAATAAATACCAACGACTGCAGCGCGTCCGTTATGTAGCAGCTGCAGGTGGAAGGGAGTGGAGGGGGTGTGGGGCGAGTGAAAGGTGGGTGCTTTGGCAGGTGTCGGTGGTTGAATTTTGTGGCGGCATAATATATGCGACTGGCGCCCAACGCATTTTCTGCGCATTTGGCATGCATTCAACCTTTGGACCCATCTACCTACCTCTCTCTCTCTCTCTCTCTCTCCCTCTCTCGCTCGCTGACATTCTCTATTTCTGTATGGCTGCTACTCTTGGTGGGGCAGCGTGCTCGCGTGACATTTCGTGAAAGGCCCAGGAAAAAAATTATACAGTTAAAACATTGTTTTACTATTATTTTAGTGATTTTTTTTCTCTCTTTTATTATTTTGGTTTGTTGTTGTTGTTGTTGTTGTTGTTGTTGTGTTGTGTGTATGTTTGTTATAAAATTAATAGCTAATCACTAACAAATTATAAGTACAAATGTATATCATATATGTATATGTATGTATGTGTATACATATAAAAAAAAAACACAAAAAAATATATATATTTGTATATATAATTACAATAATCATAATAATAATAATAGTAATAATAATAATAATGTATAGGTACAAATGTTGCGGTATTTATAATATACCGCATGTTTTAGTTAATATTATATAATGTATTTTCGTCAAGTCTGTAATTTAGTTTTCCTTTTCTCAGCAACAGTAAATAAATATATATACAATTTATATAACCCGATGTATATGTATATGTATGTATGTATATAAATGCATATACATATATAGGTATATGCACGTATTTATACATATTGTCATTAAATTGCGCTTAAATTTAATTTAAAAATTTCGTTTTTTGTTTTTGCTTTTCCTCATTTCACTTGCACCAAATTCTTGTGTTTATTTTTAGTGTCTTTTCGTGTTGTTGTTGTTGTATGTTGTTTTTGGTATTTTATTCTTATTCTGTTCTTCTTTTTAATGTGATTCTTGTTGTTGTTGTTGTGGTTGTACGATGCAATTGGCAGTTGCAATTTTGTCTTATTTAAAGTGTAGTTTTCTTCTTCTTCTTCTGTTTGTGTTCCTAAGGAAACCGTAATGCTAATGCTTGCTTCCTCTAAGGTTTCTCGACTTTCTGTGTTTGTGTGTGTGTGTCTGTGTGTGATTGTTTGTGTGGAAGCCTTTTTTCACTTTTTCACGAACTTCAAGTATATGTAAATACATATAAATATATTTGTGTATACATGTATATATAAATATATATATATAATTAGTTTAGTAACACATTAATTTTTACATCAATTAGTTTTGTGTTTTTTTCAAGGAAAAATTGTCTAAAAATTCAAAATATAGTAAATAAAATGTTTCGAAATTTAAACGAGAAAAAAAAAAGTAGTTTCAAAAAAGAATTTGCAAACAGCTGGCAACTTGTTTTCCACATGCCACCTCCTCGCGTCCTTGCTACCTGTTTCAGTGTACGTTCACGCTCGCCACGGCCGTTATTTGACGCTCTGCCCACGCTCTGTCAACGCTTGCGCTCGCCCTTGCGCTTGCCGTCTCTCAGATTGCGGCACACGCAACATCAACGCTGCGTGTGCAGTCGCTGTCATTCAGCTGCTTTCGTAGCCCTTCCAGCATTCGAATTCGAATATTCGAATATCGTTTTCGAATTTCTTTTGTATCCCATACATATCCCATATGCAAGCGAAGTTCTCTGCCGCTGCGCTGTGTTTAGCCCGGTGACGAGGTGGATCGGCGCAGTCGCAGCTTCAGGCGATTCATGCTGCTGCCGCTGCTGCAGCGACGTCGAAAGCGTCGTATGGCGTACGGACTGCCAGCGGTTAGATGCTCAGCGCTACCGCCGTCGCCACCGATGCCATTGTTAAAGTCGAGCTCAGGCGCAGCTGTGCCGCTGGCAACGACGGCGGCTGCGCTGAACGCTTTGCAGCAGCGTTTAAAGCGTCGACCCAAGCGGCTGACCACACTGGAACTCTGCGTTGGCAGCGACTGCGGCGTTGCTTGTATGCTGCCAGTGTCGTCGTCAGCCTGCCAGCCATTAATGTTGTTGTTGTTGCCGCCGACGCTGCCATTGTGGTTGTTGTTGTTGTTGTGGTGGTTGCTGCTGCTGCTGTTGCTGTTTGTGTGTGTGACGTGTTCTCATGATCGCTTGCTGCTATCCTTGCGAAAGGACTTGCGGAGCTTGTCGACCAAACGCATATGGAACTTCGTATAATCGTTGCTCTGCTCAGCTGAGCGCTGCTCCTGCTGCGCTGTCGCCGCCGCCGCCGCTGCTGCTGCTGCCTGTGCGGCGGCCTGCGCTGCCGCCTGTCGTTCCAGTGCCGATGCTGTCTGTGTGCGGCTGGGCGGACTCGACCGCGTCGGCGACATCATTGCCTGCGACATTTGCATCATGGAGCCGCCGTGGGAGCTGCGCGAAGTGTTGCGGCTGAAGCCGCGCGAACTGTGACAGCGCTGCATCTGCATGCGATGTGCGCCCAGCTGACCGTGCGACGGTGACGTTGCAAAACTCTCCGACTTACATTCGGACACCTTGCGGCGACGTTGCTGCTGCTGCGACGGCTGGCCCGGCGTTCCAAGGGCGCTGGCCAACGCTGAGGTGCCGTTGCCGCTGCTCACGTTTGAGCATTCGGATGTTTTGCGGGAGCGGGCACGCGTATCCTTATAGATATCATAGTTGTTCTTCATAACTGGCATCATAAAAGCCATTTCGTTGCTGTTCTTCTTTAGTTGGCACGCACGAAAAAAAAAATGAACACAGCTCAAATGCTCACAAAAACAAAAAACAAACAGACAAAATTATGCTGATTTCCAATCACAAAATTCGTCTCGTTATTCCAGACGTTTCGATTTCGAATTCAATTTGTGTGCGCATACGTTCTTTATCGTTTGCTTCTCCGTTCTTGAACGCGCGATTCAAAAATGCACTTCATATGCAATTCAACACGACTTTTTGTCTCTTCCTTTATTTTGTTTTTTGGTTTCTTAATGGAGAACTTTCGTCTCATGCGCTAAACGTCTGCTCGATGCGACTGCTGAATTGTATTTGAATCGTATTTAAAATGAACGTTGCAGATTTGCCGCCGCCTGCTGCCAGAGAGCGTGACCAACATAAAGAGAACACTCTCTTGCTACGTCTTCAAAAAACACTGTGTGTGTGCGAGTATTTGCGTGCGTGTATGGGGTGTAGAGAATGCTTGATTGGAGTGTGAGTGTGTGTGAGAGTGAGTGAGTGAGTTGCCTGCGTGTACTGTGACATGCAATTGGGGTTGTTAATATTTTGAAGTTGACGATATTGATTATCAATATCGTTTTATTAATGCTTCTGGTAATAATATAACAGCATACTGTATCATTTACGGATATCAGTCGGCAAAAAAAAAAAAACCGGGAAAAAATCTCACAATTATTATGATAATAAAGTTCATTGCTTTTGTTTTATAGGGGAGAAATCTGTTTTGGTTTATTTCAATGCTGTAATCTAAGTTCGTTAATGCCGTTATATAATAATTTCTAGAAACAATGGAAGGAAATGCCTTACGATATTGGCCATACTTACGGTATTTCACATATTTGTCTAATGTACGATCATTACGTTACGATTTTACGTTGAGAAAAGACTCACTGACGACACACATATGCCTAATTGCTCTCAACTTACACACACTTAGAAGATTAAGCGGCATTTCTCTGTATGGGGCCAGATAAGGGGAAATGCATGTCATCTATTATGCATATAGACGAATGTTATACAAATATTGAACAAAAAGAATCGCTTTGGCTTATTGTTCAAGTCTTACAAATGCAGTGCAGCCGATAGTGCAACGCCCCATTCAACAAGCCGTAGCTCAAGCGCTTCTAATTGTATGAGCGCTGTTGTTGCGCTGACTGTGCCAGCACGTGAGAGCGGATGCGAGGGAGCGAGAGAGCGCGCTTGCGCTGTTGCGCGGGTCAGTTGTACCAACTCAATGTTTACACAGTGCGCGGTTTGTGACAAGCGTGCGTTTACGTGATTTGTTGAACTATAAGTAAATTTGACTATACTTTTTTTTTTGTCTTTTTTATCTGTAACAAATATTGAATATTGTGATAATTGCATAAGAGCAGGTGATTTTGCATTGCCTTTGGCCAAACGTAAGCTTGACAAATTGTTAACGTCAAATCGAGTGTCAAAGTCAAATGCAAATAAACTAATTGACAGTCGTGGCAATTAATGCAGGGTCTGTAGATAGCATTGCTTATCAGCTCTCCGCACCCATACATACCCTTTCTAATGCCATTCATATGCGGTCTTTGACTTGGGCCTCTGCACCCGCCCGGTTTAAGTAAATGAATAGAGGCATTTGTTTAAATTTTGTTATTTTTCATAGTTTTTTTTTTTTTTTTTTTTTTTTTTTTTTTTTTTTTTTTTTTTTTTTTTTT